CAGCATGAATTGTGACGTTCCTGACACAAGCTGCTGCTTTTGTGTTTTAAATTTCTGTGGGTGTAAAATATTCCACACCGTGAACGCGAAACCGACAAACGGTTTAAATGCGCCGCATTACCCACCGCAACAAGTTGTTCATAAATATGGCCGTAATTTCATCTTGTAATAATATCTGCTTCTGCTAATCTTATTTATTTATTTTGTGGCTGTTTTCTTGAGGTTTTGCCTAAACTTTTCAGACCTTCCATACGTCTCCATTCAAACAGCCCCCCTTTTCGCGCGTTTAAATTGAATTCATCAGTCTGCGAGGAGCAGAAGGAAGGAAAGTAATGACATTTAATATTACTGCTGCTGGCTGCCCTGTGGCAAGATTTATTATGAACAAGGCCCTAATTTATCTTTGGTTTCTTTTCCATTCCTTTTCCTTTTCTCCGTTTTTTTTTTGTGTGTGTTTTTTTAGTCCAAACCTCTGATGTAATCTTAAATCCAATAAAGTCGACAATGAATCTTAATGATCAGGCCAGTTCGGTCTGTTTTTCTTGTCTGCACTTTCTGAGTTATTAGTTTCATGGAGGTGCAGCGGTTTTCAGAGTTATGCTAATTTGTGAAAAATAAGAGAGAAATTACTTGAATTCCACTAAGTATTCTCTTTCTGCGTGATGCGGCTCTCTGCCCAGGGCGCCACGAAGTGTGGGGTGTTACTTGACATGAAGTGGCTTTTGTAGCGTGTGATCTGAATATGACAAACATTTTGAGTTTGACTTTATCATTTTTGTGCTTCCAACATAAACGATCATAAAAACAGAAGGAGACACGAGTATCACATTAAAGATTTTGCTCTATACTTGTTAATTTTGTTGCATGTCGTTTACTAAATCGTTCTCATGTTCTGTGTCTTGCGTTTTTATGTTAATTTGACTTTTTCCTGTTTGGTTCTTGGTGCTTTGAGTTCCTGCTCAGCTGCGTCTGTGTTAATTTTTCATCGTCCCTCAGTCTGCCTGCTTTCCTTCCCTCCCAGCTGCTTCCTGTTTGTATTATCAGCAATCCCTCCTCGGCGTTCATCTTTCTCTCAGGTTCAGTCATTCACTGAGGGATTTTACTGTTTTACTGAGGAATCTGTGGTGGAGTAAGTTTTGCTTTCACTCACTAAACTTTCATTGCGCACTTCAGACCCTTTGATACCACAAAACCCTCCATGACACTCGCGGTGTTTCTGTGTAATGTGTCACAGCTCAGCGTCACAAACCTGAAAGGTTTGGCACAAAACAACCAAAACCATAAAAGTCGCCCTGTTGTCAGGGCATTTTTTCCTGCTTTCAGCTCCTCCTGCCACATGGTTGTTAGAAAGTCAATACAACGAGATGCTATTGGTTCGCTAGCGACCTGATTTCCCCCGTTTGAGACAAAAAAGGACAAATGTTTGCGTTGCAACTTCTGGAAATTTATGAGAAATTTAGTATTTTGCATTTTGAGTGTGATGTGTGATTATTTATTTATTTTTTTTTTTTTTTTGGCAGCAAAATTTAAAAAATAAGGTCATGGGCTGCAAGGCAGCTAATTTGGGGTTAACAATCTGGTTTTGGAACAAGGGATTGTGGGTGATCGGCTTGGGTCTGACACTATCTGGTGTAGGTCCATCTTTTTTTTCTTTTTTAATTCTGAATTATTTCAGTGTACACACATCGGAATTAATCACACAATAAATTATCTTCAATAAATTTATGAAGAGCAATTTTGCTTAGAGACTCAACAACCAGTTTCAGTTTTGTGTGGTTTATTTTATTTTATTATTTTTTTTTTTGCTGTTGTTTTTGGTTCCGTTTCATTTTGGACGTTTAAAATGCAAAACAGTTACAGTGTGGAGTTTTCTGTACAAATTCATAGTTTAGTGGTCTTTGAGAAGGTGAACTTGTATTATCGATGTATTAGCGTTTAGCGACGCGACAGTGCTCCGTTTGGAGCGCTGTCGGAGCATGCCGGGAAAAAAAACACATGTGAATCGTAGTTCCACGGGGCCGGAGCGGCACGACGGCCGCACCAGGCCTGAGATCAAATAGAATATTTCCAAATTCATGCAGACTGTTCAGCTAACGTCGCCGTTTGTTGCTCTCACTGTTGGGCTGTTTGAAGTTTGGCCAAACGTATGTAACCAGGTTGTATGAACCATAATTTGATGTTTTGGGTTGTCACTAGCAATATTGCTACCATGGAGGAGAGGGGGAAAAAAACAACAAAAAAAACAGGAAGTTTGTTCCTGTTGTTGTTGCCGTTCAGCCCCGTCTGAGGCAGGCAGCTTTCCAGGAAAATGAGAGTCTTTCTGCATGGCTGACAGTTTTATGAAAAACTTCTTCAAAAATTTGCATTTTTTTTTATCTCTTCAGAAAGAAACCATAGCTTTACACAAAACTCCACCTATTATGAAATTAAAACGGAAACTGCCACTTGTACGTCTCCTGGTTAGATCCACACCTCACAGCAGACGGGATCCTCTAAGGCTTTTCATGGTTGAATTTCTTTCATTTTGCCTTACCTTGGCATGTATTTTAATTGATTTTTATATATGTTTTGTGGATTTTTGTCACTGATGATGTTATTTTTTTTTCATACACATAGCACCATTTAGTTTAAATTTATACAAATAAAGTATTATACTGTCACCTTCCTAAAATAATTGGCCGAGTTGTTTGATTTGACTTTTTTTTTTCATGTAAAGAAACAAAAAAAAAAAAATCAAAGGTGTGTAGATTTTGTTTTTGTCCAAAGGGATGCTATGCAAATCGTCACCTTCCTAAAGTAAAGGTGTGTCATGTTTGCTAAAATTGTTTAAAAAAAATAAAAAAAATGATTTAGGGCAGGGGGGTGGGGTTAATCACATTTGACAAAAATAAAAAACAACAACAAAAAGACTTTAATTTAGGAAGGTGATGCTATTATTATACTATCGTCTCAGAATGTGGATCATCCCTGTTCTGGTCTGGTCCCAGTCTCCTTCAGCATATGCGCCGTAAAGCTACATCCTCTGTGAGCGGATAAGATTTATCACCTTCTGCCTTTAGAGCCGTGGCCCCCCTGCACCCCCCCCTCTATCCCCTCCTTCTAGAAATGATCTCAGCAACACTGTCGCTGCCAATGTGAGGCACTTTCAGCTGCCACACTGTTTTATTTCATTTGTACTGCCGGGTCAGCTATTAGTGCCCCCGCAGTGAAAGTATGATTGTATCCATAAAGAAAAAGAAAAAAAAGAAAACAAACTACTGTCTATACTGGCTCTGATTATCATTGTTTGTTACTCATTTGGCGATTGAAATCATCTTTGCTCGCGTCCCTCGGCTTCCTGCTCGATTCGCCGGGAATTAGCGCGATGCGTCCGTTTCCTCTATACGTCGGAGTAAAGATCGGTCGCAATCTGCTGAGCATCTACACAATTAGGTTTCGCTTCCTGATCTCATTACGCCTGAGTGGAGACAGAACCTTCAGAAGGATTTCAAGGACGACAAAAGGATCTGTGGGTGAAGCGGCTCAGTCTGAGTCGGATGATGCTCTTTGTTACGGGTCCTTCACACTCTCAGGCACTCTCGCCTCTGAGAGTGCCTGAGTGTTTAGTCCAACTAAGGCCGTCATCATGATCGGATGAGTTGATCAGTGTTCTGGCTGTTGCTAGTCAGAGGCATTTCTAAACAGACGGCTGTTGAAGGAACTCGGTGTTTCGGCTGTTTTGCCGTTTTCTGGAGATTTGCTCCAGATTTCTGGTGCGTAGAAGCTGAATGCTGCCGTTTGGCTGTTTCAGGCCAAAAACACTGCCTGGAAATGACCAATAATCACCGTTTGACCGCAACTAGCAGTTTGTGCCACCAGATGTCACTGCATCCGCAGACGTTTCTACAACCGTAGAAGCTGCAAGAACTGATATAGTGCAGCTGAAACTGTACGGCCTGTTTTTGTTGTTGTTGTTTTTTTTTTTTAAAGTGCAGTAGAACCAAAGCACAAATATATTAGGAAGTTCAGATCAGGGAGAGCCGCGTCCTCCTGGACCGTATGAAAAGTGGGTGATCCGCCCCGGGAGCTCCTGACTCACGCAAACGCGATGTGATGTCTCAGCTCCCGCTTCATCATCGTACACCAGATGCCCAGGCTCCAGCAGACAACACGGAAACATAGGTTTTGACAAAAACAATCGCCGGAACATAATTTCCCCCCCTGCGCTGTCAAAAAATACAAGCAGCGATCTGATTATTCGTCTCCGGGCTCGGCCCGCACATGTTCCCGTGAGCTTGAAACTGGATCGTTTAAGCAACTCTCCTATAACGGCGCTGCTCACTGCGTTCAGTTTCCAGTTTCCTGGATCAGGCCGCCATTTTCTTTCCTCGTCTCCTTCTCCCGTTTAAGGCAATAAAACAATTCCACACGTCTTCGTTTTGTTTCCCTGTCTCCTCGCTCATTCACTGTTAAAAGACGGCGTCCCTGGTCCATGTCGTCCCTCTTGGAACCGTAACAAAAAAACAAAACAAAAAAAGAAACAGTTTAATTCCACAATGGCTGCTTTCCTTCTCCCTCTCCCCCCCTCCAAGCTAATTTACAGGCATGAACTGCACTTTTCTTGTCCCGCCAGCAAACAGAAAGCGCTTCACTGCAGAGTCTGACGGTGCTAACAGAAGTGAAGCCATCTGCAGTGTTTATTTGGTCCTCTCCTCCCTCCCACTTCCCCTTACATAGATTAAGCCTCAGAAGCTGCCTCTTGGCAATTAAATCTATCAGAGGGCAGCAGAGAGCACTCTGTCAGAGCTGTTCCAATTATTGCAGTTTAAATGAATATGGATTCAAAAACTTTTGACAAAACGCAGCCAGTTAATTTGCAGCGGGGGACTTGGGAAAGCAGTTTTCCTCACCCCCGTCATGTCTCTTGGTTTTGTTTGCTTTTCTGTTTTTTTTTCTTTCTTTCCCTCGGATGAGGAGGTATGTCTCATTTACCGTCCCTCTTTTTCTTGGTTGTTTTTCAGACACATAGAGAACTGGACGGGATTGCAGACGCTGAGAGACGTCGATATGGAGCTCTACACCGGACTGCAGAGACTGTGAGTGCTGATGCTTTCATCTTGTGGTGTGAGTGTGCGTGTGTGTGTTCCAGACCTGATTGCTGGATAGGGAGGGGGACAGAAGTAGAACCATTTATCGTATCGTTTATCGTGATAAACGATAGTGCTGATTCATTGTTGTCACGATAAATTCCAGTGAAAAATTACGCAGACAGGTACCTATGAAGGAAGTGATAAACGGTTCTTTTGGTCATTTTCATCATGGTCACAAAATATCATGATAAAACTTAAAGTCCATATCACCCGGAGTCGAGAGGTCCATAATTCTAGAGTGTCATGAGACAAATGTTTGACTGCCTGATGTTTTAAAGTTATCTTGGTCTGAAAATTGTGGCATATTTTTGTTTTTGATGTCAGTGCTTTGTAGAAGAAACTTTTCCTCCAATTGCAGGATGTCCCTGCTCAAATTGAGACAAATTTTGTTACCCATTCGTCTTACGGCAAAAAACTCAGTCAGATTGCGTGGATGTCATCCAGAAACGTCTAATTTTACATCCTGTCACAAATTTCATTTCATTTTAACAAATCAATATGCTTTGAAGCAATGTCATTGTGACTCCAGTCGACGCTTTCCACCCAAATCTAACATTTTTACGCATCAAAAGGTTTTTTCTCAAGGTTACAACATTTCTAACTTCGTCTACCGTACCATGAGGCTGCCACCACCGTGTCTTTAACACTGGAGACGGTCTGTAAAAGTTGATAGCAGCATTAGATTTCTTACACGGCGACAGAGTTTTTCCATTTGACCAAGATAATTAGTTTTCATTTGATCCAATCAGATCATCTTCTCCCACAGATCTGCTGCGTTTGTGGCAAACTAACTTGTCTTCGCTGTTCTTTTAAAATGGCTTCGTTCCTGTCACTCTTTTGATTCTCCATAGTCTTTCCATTTCGGCATGAAGCATTGAACTCTGCAAACAGAGATGTTTGAGGTTTATAATATTGTTTCGGACAGCTTTAAATTCCTCCACAATGTTTTATTGACCTATGTCCCCTCATGATGCCGTTATTTCTGACAAACTTACAAAATCATATATGCTTATATACATATATATTTTAAAACACAAAATGTAATGTTTTTTTTATCATTATAAAACATAAGTAAAAATAAATGATTGAAAGCTTATTTGCCATACTGATCTGTCTGATTGACTGCCAGTCACAATCATCAAGCTAGCTTAGCTCCTCCAGCTAGCTTAGCTCCTCCAGCTAGCTTAGCTCCTCCAGCCAGCGTATGAAGTGCAAAACGGAAAAGTTTCTGCTAGGTTTTCTGAAAAAAAAAAAAAAATTAAAGATAGTGTTTAATGATATTTGGGTTTCTTCACATAGCAGTTTGTTTTGCACTGGACTTAGTTTCAAGGCAACAGAATAAATGGGGATAAAAAAAGTGTCCATTCCACACTTCTCGGGTTTCTATTTATATATTTAAAAAAAAAAAAGACAAAACATCATTTTCCATCCACCTCACATGCGCTACTTTACGTTAGCCTAACCCCATCCTAACATCAAGCTCGCTGTGGCATGAATGACGGAAGCAATTTGGCTCAGAAAACCCTCTGAAATGGCTGATAAGGAGAAGATGAAGATGTTGGTTGAGTGAGCAGGGCCGCCTGAAGGGAGTATTTCTGTCGCTAACATGAGCTGAAGTTTAAAGAAGCCTTTAATTCTTGCCAGTCAAACACTGAGAAGCTGCTCTGCTTTGGGTAACAGCTGATGAAATGGCGCTAAAAGGAAAGCAGTGGAAATTGAATCAAGCGTCCCTGGAGGAGCTAAGGGTCTTCATGGCTAATCTTTTCACGTTTTCTTTTTTTTAAAGCTAGGTGACGCTGCCTTCTCGCTCCGCGCCCGCCCACTTTCCAGCCACGTGCGTTTCAGACTTCCACTTAATCCCCCTTCCACTCCCTCCAACCCTCCCACCTCTACTCAAAGAGCCATCTTCTTCTCTGCCCTCCACAGTCGGAGCTGGCCTCTCCCCCTGATCCCTCATCATGGAGGCCAAGTGCAATATCTCCACCGCCAAATTAGCATTTTTCTCATTACCGCCTGCCTCCCTTTGCAGCCTCATCCGGGGGACGTGGGGCTCCTCATGTTGTGTCGCTGCGCGAAGGAGCCAACCCGGGGAGAGTCAGGGATGGTTGTGTTGTTTTTTTGTTTTTTTTTTACGTTTACCTTCTCACCGCCACCACCACAGGAGTAAAACGAGAAAAGGAGATGGTGCGCTCTTGATGGACCAGATCTTCAGAATAGTAGGCTGATATTACGGGCAAATCATATCCGGCCTCCTGCAGATCTAACGTGATTGGTTCTGACTCTGTGCTTTCATTTTCTATCAGTCTAACATTAAAATTCACTTTGAATTAACACTGAAACAGTCGGGTTTCTCACATAACCCAGGACTACTAGCTGCCATTTAGGTAGAATTAGATTTGATGGAAAAATAAGAAATTAAATAGGTTTTATTGTAAAATTAGTTAAAGGGGGAGAGTTATGTATTTTTCAGACACAGAGCCATTTAATAACACAGTTATGTAACTGTTTCCGTCATTTTTTATAAAAATGCCATCTATACCACATCAGCAGCTCCTATGGTGAGCTCAGGAGATGTGCAATTAGCAACCAGGTGGTTGCTAATTGCTGCTGGCTAGTCTGAGCTAGTGAGGAGTCACGGGGGGACTGTTTTCTCGTGAGGTGGAGACTTGGAAAAATAGGAAACTAAAAGCGCTCATGCCTCGTTTCTAAAAGCGTATTAAAAATACAGAGAGAGAAACCCTGCATCCAGAGATTCACATTTTTCTTCAGTCAAATATGTTCATCCAGAACTTTAAAACAATTTACAACCTCTCCGTTCATGCGATCGGCGTTGACAATTCATTATACCTGACAATCTCACTGCAAACGTTGGCCAATCCCTTGTTTTGGTGGCCTAGCATGGTGGTCCAGCTTTTAACGGTTGGAAAAAATCGGATTTTACTTTTTACTGTAGAATATACCTCAGGATTTTCTGGAAGACCTACTTAATGACCTCTGGATTGTCTCTGGGACGCAAATCTCCAGAATGGCACAATGGGATTTTTTTTGAGGGGTGGGGATAGTAATCGGCACCAGCAGCTGGGTGCAGTCAGCTCCGTGCTTTATGAGGCGCTCGGTCATGTCAAGGATGTCAAGGACTTCTTTGGAACGAGGCACCTGTGATTACAAGATTAGAAGTCATTACAATTGAGAACAGCGTTTCCCGTACTGCGGCGCTGGGAGATCCAGAAAGCCCTTATGGGAATTCCACTGGGTCTCCTCTCTGGCAGATGGGGGATTAGTTTAATTTCATTACTATTTCACTCCTATACAAGTCGGCACAATGACAGAGCGTCTGCACCTCTGATGAGAAATTCCCCCCGTTTGCATGGAAGACAGAGGAGTTTGCAAACTTTGCACCACCGGGTGCTTCAAAGTGAACTTTTGTGTGGTCCTTGGCTCGGCTCGGTTCGGCCCGTTGTGCACGCAAATCGATGTTAGGATGTGAAGATGAAGAAAAGATTGAGACATGTGTGAGCTGACACACATGAAGGTGCTTCTTTTTTCTCGAGGAGATACTTTTTACGTGCATTTCTGTATGAGCGTTGTCTTGACTCTAAAAATAGAAAAAGGAGAAAACCATACAAAATGATGGTGGAAAGTCTGGATAAGGGACGAGAGATCCAGCCGCCTCCCGACCCCCCTGCTGTGTGTGTGATAGCGGTATGATGAGAGTCTGTGCTTGGAGCTGAAAATGTCCGCATAAAAAAACGACGGGAAGAGAAAAAGTAAATCCAGTTCCTTTTTGATATCTGTTCCTTATCTTTTTTTTTCTCCTCAGGACCATCATGAATTGTAATCTGCACGTGATCCAGCCTCGGGCCTTCGCTCAGAACCCACACCTGCGCTACATGTGAGTAAACACTCTTTCTTCCAGCGCGTTTTCCGCGCCGTCGAAAGATTTATGATGATCTGCGGCGTTTGACTTCGCGCTGTACACGGATGTATATGAGTTAGTGTTGAACAGGCCGCGATGCGCTTGATGGAGACTGGCTTTGGGAAAATTGTGCCACTGCCATTACTGCTGCAACAGTCGCACGTCTTAAATGAGACATCAATTATTTGCCTCGGATAATTGGATTCCTATCCGCCACAGCCTCTTTGTGCCGCGGCGGAGCAACACGGCGAAGACGCAGTTCCATTTAGACTGCACTCGCCAAATGGACAATTTGTGCACGAGGCCCGGCGTGAGAGAGCTGGGTGAAGAGCAAAGTAATTTCTTTAACAAAGGCTGATGTGTCCCCGTATGACAGGCTGTTATTCCCCAATTTTCCAGCAGTAAACACGCAGAAGAACTCTGTCACTGTCTTTTACCTGAGTGCGCTGCCTTCTGCAGTTCCCAGTTGTTGAGCCATGGACAGTTTCTATTCAGCATGTCTGGTGCTGCCAGCTTAGGCTAACGCTGTGAGGGGTCTGGCCGCCTTTTGTTGTCAGGACAGGTCTTCTCTACAAGAAAGAAGGATGGGACATCAAGCATCAATAAAAGTAAAGATGCCTATCTAAACTTCTAATTGGATAGAAAGGTGGTAAAATATAAAAAATTAGACGTCTGTCTGTCTAATCTATCTAATCTAATGTACATTCTGACCATGCTACCTACATATTTACTCATTACAGCATTGCTTAATATCACAAGTACCAAAACAGCCAATCCCAGGGAGCCAATCACGTCGCATTCAGGGATCTCAACATTCTGATAATGACTAGCTGAAATGCTAACCGAGCACCAGAAAGCCAAAGACAGAGAGAGCATTTCTATCACTATGACTGCCGCCTGATGGTTGGTGCCAAACAGGCTGGTCTGAGTGTTACATTAAACGCTTATTATGTTGGGGGGGGATTGTTATGAACCACCATCTCTTCACATTCACAGAGAATGGTTCAAGAAAAGACAGCACATCCGTTTGTTCAGGTCAGAGGTGAACGGGCTGACAGCTGAAATAATCACTTGTGCCGAACGCCGTCCGAAGCGATCCACAACGCCTCGCTGGACCTGGACAGTAACAGATGGTGTGATGAGTCTTCATTTCAGCTTTGACATCCCGGGTCACAGTTTCCCACAAGCAGCTGAGAAGTCTGAATCTATCCTGACTTATATCAAAAGTTCATGCTGATGCTAGCCGTTTAAGATGCGGGGGCTTATTTCTCAACACACATTTGGCCTCTTAGCATAAGTCAGACCGAGCTTACAAGTCACAAACTACCCAAGTTTGTTTTCTGACTACATATGAATATATATATATATATATATATATATATATATATATATATATATATATAATATATATATAAATATAATATATATATATATATATATATATATATATATATACATACATATATATATATATATATATATATATATATATATATATATATATATTTATCTGCAAATACACACATTTGCATCAGTCGCATGTCTACGGCACCCAAAGCCAATGAGCTACTTTACTTTTAAAACTTATTTCCTGATCTGCAGACTGTCTCGGTGTCTGCAGTGTGATGTGTGTGTGTGTGTGTGTCTGGTGTTGTGTTGTATAATGTGCATACCAAAAAGCAGTAATATTTATTTGACAACTTAATCTTGCCTGTTACTGAGGCAGAAAATACTAGTTAGGCGGTGCTGTCATACAAGCAGATGTTCTTGGCATCTCAGTCTGAGTAATATTCCCAGGTTGGTCCCTTTTGTGTGGGTGGGGGTGGGTGTGTGTGGGTGTGTGTGTGCTATGCACGTTGACATTAAAAAAAAGACAACTGCTTCTCTTTTTATCTGGCCAGGTGATTGGTGGAGGTAATGGAGCCCATCAACATTTAATGAAAGTTATTTAAATGCCGCCTTTGTTTTAATTTTCCCTCCAGATGATGGATTTGCCTGCACAAGACAGAAAATAAACAAACGTTTGGGACGTGCTTTGGCTCACTGTCCGCTTTCATCCCCTGAACGTTCAGCGCAGTGGTGACGGACTCAAAGTCGCTCATGCGTGTTGATATTAATAAGAATAAATGATAACATACCCAGGAGACGACCAGAGGTTTGAACACTGCATCTTTTGATGATTGACTACGGTTGAACGCGTAATCCAGGAGAGTGAGCTGGAATTGGAGGGTTATTATACTTTATTCTTGCATTGCCAATTCATTAAGGTTTTCCAGTTTTTGTTTTTTCAGTCCAGCTCCCTGAAGGTCTCAACAGGAAGGCCAGCTGGGTCCTGGGCTTCCCCTCCGTCTAGTGCAGGTCGTGTAGGAACTCTGTCGAAAACAACATTTCACTGTCGGACAATGTCAGAGGCACCCATGAACGTAGCTGCAGCAGAACCAGAAGACTCCTTTATGGACTGACTCCTTCGTCCTATTTGCACAAACGAGCGTTACTGTACATCCTTCCTGTCAGCTGAGTCTACGGCCACCAGTCCTCCAAACAAACTCTAGAAGTGTTTACAGCCGTTTTTAATGTCTGTTGCTGTTTTCTGTCCATAAATGTACATGTACTGTACCATTGTTTCAACATGCATGCTTTCACATAGCATTGGTGCACCCAAGTTCCCCTGCTGTGGGCTAGCAAAGGTTGTTTCTGCTTGATTCTGATCAGCCATACATTCTTTCTTGTGGTGTTTTGTTCTTGGTCATTGTTTCATTCATTACCCAATCTGGGTTGAGCTTTCGCTGGTGGACGGATGACCTTGTGTGAGACGTCTGAAGACATTCGATGGAGTTTTCTAGCTGCAAGCCAGCCCTCCACCTCCACCACAGTTGGGAGGAGAAATCTCAGCTGATATTCTGTGTAGTTTTTCCCCAAACCTGGTGCAATGCATTAGGGTCCAACAACCTTTTTCTTTTTTTAGGACACTAAAGTCAGATTGATAATTTGAAGGCAACCGCATGACCCTAAAAACTTACTCTTGAGAGTTCAGTCTGTTTCTTTTAATTGTTCTATTGTGAACGTTAGCATGCTAACTGAGCCCTGTGGGCACATAGATGTAGTTTTTTTGTGGGGGGGTGTCAGCGGTGGGTTCGTTATCCATCTGAGCATTTCGCTGCCAGATCTTAGGATGAACATGTTGGGACACTCACTTGTGGGAAAACATTTTCCACTTGTGAATGAGGCGTCTCCCTGTGAAATAATGGCAATCGAATTGTCTAGAATGGCATTATCACCCTTCCCGGATTGATGGGCAACAGTTTCTTCTCTTAAGGCATCACTAATGTCTTTCCCTCCTTTAGTATTGCATTAAAGCTCATCTGCATAATCCAGAGCGGTAAATGGCCGAAGCTCCGTCTCCTATAGAGGTAGTAAACCTTGATGATCAGTTAATTAAGCGTGTGTGATTAACACATTCGGTGAGGTGCCTTGGGGGACAGGGAGGTGCTTTGTTGTCCTGCACAGCTTTTCCATTACCGCGTGATTCTGGTTTCATAAATAATGACACTGTTGCGTGGTTTTGTTCAACCGAGGCTTTATTTCTTTCAGAAATTCATTTGAAATTAGAAATGTACTTTCTTTTTTGTACTTTTATTTCCTCGCAACTACTTACTACCAACCTTATTGGACATGTTGCTGGTGTAGGGTCAGGCGTCCTTTTCCTTTAACGAGGTAAATACCGTTGTGGATGTGGAAAAGGTTGACGGCGTCACTTTGATCATAATGGCATTTGCATTGTAGCCAGCTAGCGCGCACACACACGCACACACACACACACACACACACACACACACACACACACACACACACACACACACTCTGGGTAGCCCCTGACAGGCTTCTGTTGCGCTTCCCTAAGTGGACAGTTGCTAGGTGACAATGAGGATGATGATGTCAGGGAAGATTATTAAAATTATTGCCCGTCTTTAGCCCGGGAGCACCCAGCTCACTGATGTCTGTGTCAGGCCGGCCTGTTCAAAGCCTCGACCGTCACACACCCCACCGGTCGCTTCTTCATGAGGGGAAGTGAAGCCGTCGCCTTCGTCACATGTCCAGACCAAAACGGCCTCAATTACTCGCAGTAAAAATATCATTAATCCCATGTGCTGTAAACATTATGACTGCAATTAGCACCCACCATAGCGGTGCCCTATCGCCAATTAGCATTCCACTCGTCTATTTTTAGCCTATGTATTATGCATAGCCGTGTTTAGTATGCTTTGGCGGCAGGCAGTGTGTTCGGATCTGCAAAAATGCAGATCCGAACAAGTGCACGGATTTTGTATTTCCTTTTCAAAGTGTACGCCTTTCTTTCAGGTCAGAGTGAAGATATATTCTAAAGTTTGTTTTAAATTAAAAAAAAGAAAGTTAAATAACTTGTTTTTTTCCACTCCCACATCAGCAAATTTATTTTCTATTTGGGGGATTTTTCTCTGAACACAGAAAGTTTAACTTCCCATGCACATTTTTTGTGTTTTCATATTTCCACATCCTGCTGCAATTTAATGATCTGATCTTTGTATCGTTGGCGGGATAATGATAATGATGAAAATGTGTCAAGCTTGCATGTGCAGTGAAAAAACAAACAACTGCAATTTACATAATTACACATCAACAGCTATTGCTAACTAATTCTCATAGATTCATTGATTAACAGATCACTCATAAGCCACCCATTTAAGTCATACATAAAGTAAATGTAACACACTGTCCCAATACAATGACTCAATATCCAACATTACAAGTCACACATATACTTCATTTTTCAACATTTCAAATGTATTGGTAATACATTTTTTGCAAGACAAGAAATGTCAGCAGCTTTAGTTTTTTTTTCTGCTAATAGCATGTAAGCTAGTGGCAAGGTTACTTTATTGGCTCTGCAAGTTTTAAAGGGGCCCAATAGCAGGTCCGTCTATTAATAGTTTGTGTTT